CCCTTCCCTCCCCTCCCCTCCCCTTCCTTCCTCTTCCTTCCGAAAAGATTAGTTTCAATACTGTGAATTTAAGAAGTAGCCCTTGGTTCGGCTCCCTCCCAAGGGGAGAAGTGGTGGGAGAGGCAGGAAATGAACACTCAGTTTCTGTCAGGAAGTAGTTGGACGTATTTCACCTAGAAAAGCCTCACAGAAAACTTTCTCAGAACCCATCCTGCGAAACTGCTTCATCTCTGCTGACTTTCCCAGCTCGTCTTCGGGGAACGTGTCCTTGTGGCGCGTCTGCGTCTAATTAAATAGAAGCTTAATTTCCTCTGAACAGCTTTCCCTTCTCTTTCCTCCTCTCTCTCCCTCTGCCCCATTAAAAAAAAGTATCACCTCTGTCTCAAAAGGAGAAGAGCCAAACAAAAAGAAAACAAAAACAAACCAGGGAAAAGAGAATGAATCGGGAATGTTTAGGCCTCAGCTCCAGGCTCCGCCCTGCATGGACCCTCCATAACCCTGGGCGACTTAGCTCACCTGTCCGAGTGTCCCGCTGTCGGTGAGCGCAGCAAGCACGTCGCACCGGATGGTCTCCACGCTTTCACGTTACAGGAACTGAAAACGTAACCTAATTAATCACTCGTGTTGAGAAGCAGCATCACATAGAAGAATTCCTTGCTGCATATAAGTCAGGAGGCTGATGCAAATCCTGGCTTGTTACTAACTAGCTGTGTAAGCCTTGCAAGTCGTGTACCCTCCATGGATTCCTGATCTGTAAGGAGAGGGGTTGGGAGTCGGTAATGGCATCCCTCGTGCCTCTTCTCTTTGAAACCACCTGACCGGGGCGCCTGGGGGGCTCGGTCGGTTAAGCGTCCGACTTCGGCTCAGGTCATGATCTCACGGTTCGTGGGTTCGAGCCCCGCGTCGGGCTCTGTGCTCACAGCTCAGGGCCTGGAGCCTGCTTCGGATTCTGTGTCTCCCTCTCTCTCTGCCTGTCGGCCGCTTGTGCTGTCTGTCTCAAAAATGGATAAAGGTTAAAAAATGAAATTAAAAAACAAAAGAAACTACCTGACAGACACAAGACTTCCCGTAGCTGGACTTTGTCATTGCTAGTGGCTGGATTGCAGACCATTCCCCCGCAGGCTCGCTAACTCATCGCGCCTCCTGGGCACAGACAGACGACCACCCGCCACCTTCCTGCCCTGACCCACCCCCTTTCCCAGACTCTTCAGTGCAAGGCAGAACATTCTGGAAGGCAGGCGGCTGGTAGGACGATAGGGACACGTGAAGTGACGTATCTCTTCTTCTGGGGAGGAGTGAGTGGGGGTCCTGATGCAGTGACCCTGAAAGTGCGGCCCCCAGCCCGGCAGCGTCAGCCTCGCGCGGAACTTGCTGACGTAGAAACGAAGGCGGGAGCTGGCGGTGAGCGAGCTCCCCGAGGGATTGTGATTGGTGCTAACGTCGGAGAGCCGCTGCCCCCGTGCAGCCCTCCAGGTTGAAACGTGAGGAATGGGGAGTGGGCGTTCCCCAGGCAGAGAACACGGTTTCTGAGACCCTTTCTCGTAACGGACTTCGTAACGACCGTGCTTCGTGGCCCTGTCCCCTCGGCCTCTGCGGCTGATGCAGGTGCTCGGCCGGTTACTACGGCGATCCCGTCATCGGGTCAGGAGATCACTGCCGCCCTTGCCCTTGCCCGGATGGTCCCGACAGCGGACGCCAGTTCGCCAGCAGCTGCTATCAAGACCCCGTCACTTTGCAGCTCGCCTGTGTCTGTGACCCCGGATACGTCGGTAAGTGAGGGACAGACTTTGGGAGGAAAAGATGCGTCTTTGAGGTTAGTCGTTAGTAAAGAAGAAGGATGAACAGTGAGCCAGTTGAGTTTCGTTTTTACGACCCTTAGCTACAGTTGAAGGGAAGGTGAAGTAGAAAAGATGCTCTTTTCCTGTTTGGCAAGTGGAGAAGAGAACTCTTGAGTCTCTGTGATGATGTTGTGATACACGGCAACGCGGCAAGCGCGTTTAAGTCCCTGAGTGAAGCCCTCGGGATAGTTTGCCTGACTAAGCAGCAGGAGGCCTAACTTAGATCTTCCTTCTCCCGTCCCTTACCCAGCTGCTGGCGGGAGGGTCTCAGAGGAGTGGCGTAGTGACCGCGTAGCGGGCAGGAGCGCAGGACGCCATCCCCAGGTGGGCCCCAGGCAACCCAGTCGGCCAAAGCGACATACGTTCTTTGTGGTTCACTGCACGCACGTGATCTGTCCACGCTCAGGGAGGGCGGTTCCTCGTGAAAATAAGCGCCCTTTTATCTCACCCTTGATGCCACAGTTTCAGATGCTAGTTAGGCTCCTCCGTCGTGCAGAAGTATCGGCACACGCATCAGGACTTCAGGATTTCTTAGGGAAATTGGACGGCACGAGGGACCCCGTTTTTCAGGTTGCTCACGCAGGAGCGGTGATTTTTTTTGTTTCTATCCGCGTAACCTTGGCCTTAGGAGTTAACGTCAGTG